TTGGGAAGCTGATTTAGAATTGGATTTAGTTAAAGTGATTCGTAATAAACGTGTGTTACACGCTTTGCAAATACAAGAAGACTGTGTCAAATAAGGATATTCCTTTAAAATTAAATCAGTTTTTTCTTTATCTTTAAATGACAAATGAACCATTTTGCTGCTTCTCTTATTACAAATTGTACAAAATTCTTTACATTTCTCATCCCCATGAAAAGTCTTATACTGTTTCTTTTTATCCATTCCACCTTTCCCCCAAAATATCAACTCAAGTTCAGAAAATGAAGAAATGCATACAACATCGTGTTTTCTAAAGCATTTACCCCATTCGACCCTTAAATAAGCCATTTTTGTTAAATCAAAATCCCGACAATCAGTGTTTAGAAAAATATAATCTTTTATAAGAGAAATCAAATCTCTGGCAAAATATGTATTTTTAGATAATGATAAATCAATGCACATAAGTCCTACTTTTACTCTAAATGGAAAAGTGTCAGTGCCAGTGGGGTTTGGTGAAATACCAGTGCCAGTAGTGTCTGATGGAATGTCAGTGCCAGTGGTGTTTGGTGAAATGTCAGTGCCAGTGGTGTTTGGTAAAATGTCAGTGCCAGTGGTGTTTGGTGAAATGTCCGTGCCAGTTGTGTTTGATGGAATGTCATTGCCAGTGGTGTTTGGTGAAATGTCAGTGCCAGTGGTGTTTGATGGAATGTCAGTGCCAGTGGTGTTTGGTGAAATGACAGTGCAAGTGGTGTTTGTTGAAACGTGAGTGCCAGAGGTGTTTGGTGAAATGTCAGTGCCAGTGGTGTTTGTTGAAATGTCAGTGCCAGTGGTGTTTGGTGAAATGTCAGTGCGAGTGGTGTTTGGTGAAATATCAGTGCCAGTGGTGCTAGGTTCAGAGGGTGCACATGATTTTTTGTGTTTATGTCTTCTTGAAGGTTTGGATTTTCTTTTATGAGTTTGATTACGTCTAGCCCCTCTGGATCTATTACTTCTATGAGATATGTATGTGTCTGGTGTAGGTGATTCTGTCAGAATAGCAAATGGATTTGATGTTGAGATGATGTGACTCTCTGCCCTACACTCAGACCATTTGCATGTTGCATGAAGGCACTCACGTTCTGTGAAATATGATGTGTTGGATTCAGTGATAGAAGTGGATGATGTTGAAATGTTGGTTTTGTGAATGTTGTACCTATACTTTGTTTTAGACCTTTGAGTTGTAGATTTCAATTTATTCATCTGGACCTTTTTGTTGGTTACCTTTGGTTTGTATGAAGTATTGACAGGGGTTGTAAAGTGAAGATGAGTGGGCAAGATGGGAGCAGGAAGGGCTGGAAAATCTTCAACACTTTCTAAGTTAGGCGGAGATGATAATGCTATGGGTCTGGATTTAAGTGTTTGACGGGACCTAGTCAAATGGAATGTTAGCTGGTAAATGATGGATGAGTAAAGGACATCAGACCCTTCAGGAAGTAAATGGTGGCCATCACGGGCAAAGAGATTTGGCAAGATGTTCGAATTTTGGTCCAAAAATTTAAAGTAGTGGTCCAGATAAATAAACTCTGATTTAGTACTGCATTCCAAATTGACTGTTTTTGAAATGTCATTTTGACACCTGACCTCTCTTGGCTTGACCCCACCATAAAGATCTTCACCACGGGGCAATTGCCCTGAGATGAAGATCTTTACATTGGGGTTCAAGAATTTTGCCTTCGAGGCCATAGCCAAGATGTCATCAACTATGTATTGAGGATCTTTAAAATTAGATATGTCATTTGCACCACCATGGATAACAAGCACATCGCTCTCCGTGGCCACTTTCGAAAATTGCACTGTGTGCATAATTTCTGTGACACAACGACCAGGAAAGCTAAGTACTTCTGACCCATGGTGGTTTGGTAAAAGTTTTACCAGTGAATCGCCAATGACAGAAACCTTGTATTCTGAGGCAAAATTTTTTGCAATAGGAACAGCACGTTGCATTGTGACTTTAGACAAGATGCAGATCAGAGATAGATCTAATAAGTATGGCAAATATGTGTACTTAGAAGAAAATTAGTACTCAAATTTGACTGGTTTCAAATGCAGAAACCTACAAGAAAAAGACTACAAGAAATCTTTATCTCACCTTTATGAAGAACTTTGAAAATGCTAAGAATCAATGATTTTTTACAAGGTCTATTTTACAGATTTAGGGTCAGATTAGTTACACAATGAGTGAAAACTGACTCTATCAAGCCTTGACCTAACAGACTATATCTATCAAAACGTTATTTTAAGGTTATACAAGTATGCACACACACAATACAAAGATTATTGGAGATTTTTTAGAGAAAAATATCATACAAATCCTTTCAAATCGTCATAGACATCCAGGAGAAAGAAAAATTGATTTCATTGGTTGATATTGTATTTAATTCAGTTATAGAATGCTGTATCAAACTATTTGCCCTACGTACCTTATTTTGTATGTAAAGAATCAATCTTCAATTTGTATATCATTCCCATCCACTTATGAATCGATGATTTGACTGCCAGGACTCCAGTGTTTTCCAATTAAATGTCACTTCCGGCTCTATGTCCGCCATTACTATTTTCCAAGGTCAAGTTTTCCACTCTTTATGTACACGTAGTTTACTCCTTCAACACGTAATACTTGTGTTGTATGTCTGTCTCCTGCTTACTATGTATAATGAATAATATCATGGTGTATATAAAGAAACTTCTGTGCTGATATATTCCCTGTAAAGGTGAAATATAAATGTTAAAAACTTCCCTGTCTCGTACGTCAATCATTTAAATTCTCCGGAAGTGACTTACACATTCTCATTAACTCCTTAACGCCTGATCCTTAAAGTGGTTAAAATTGGTGAAATGTGCAATAAATATTAATTTAAATGCTTTTTATTCAATATTATACAAATATATGACTGTCATATATCAAAATGAAGAGAATTACCCATATTTCTCATTTTTACCTAATTTGCATAAATTATGCAAAAAAAATGATGTCATAGTGACGTCACAAGGCTGAAATTGAGCATTTTATTTCATTAAATTGAGTCATATCTCTACAGTCAATACAGTTTTTCTCAAATACTGTTCAATTATTGCAATTTTGAAAAACATGGATTTGTTCTTCTTGATTTAAGCTTTAAAATGGTATATTACATGATGGGTATAAGGAAGATTTGGTGTAACTAGATTATGCTAAAGTTTGCGATGCCGAGCCAAAAATTCCAGGAATCGTGGAAAATCTAGGAAAATTATGTCGAAATGTTTAATTGAAATATGTAATCCATAACAAATAAAACTTTTAACTTGAATAATTTTTATTATATATTATAGGCCATACTAAGGGGGATTGCTCATATACTGTTTTTGCCTAATTTGCATATATTATGAAAATATAGCGATGTCATAAGATGACGCAAGAACGGTTTGTTCCGTCAACTAAATTCTATATTCAGGAATAAATAATTTTTATTACCCGAGATTCAGTTGATAAATGTTTAATAACCCAGTTCTGTTTCATAACAGCTTTAAAATGATAAACTACATGAAGCATAGAAAAATAATATACTGTCACTGTCACGACTCACTAGAATAAACCAAAGACTATCTGCGATAAGGTACTGATATTTGAAAAATCGATGAAAATCATGACTCTACAATGTTTTGAAGAAATAATAGATGTATAAAGATGTGTTAAAAGCAAATTTCTGCTTGTGAATGTCTGTTTGTTCATGTACTCATTATGTTTAATTGCTAATAAACCAGATAGATCATGAACTTGCAATTAATCCTCAAACTGCTTGGCCTTCCATGGGTTTCCCCAACAAAGGCTTCTGATACACCCCCCCCCCCTGAATCCCTATGCTCCCCCCTGAATTCCTATGCCCCCCTCCCTATACTACTCAACATTTTTCAAAATATATTTGTGTTGATTGTCCTACACACCTTACAACAAGATTTTAATGTGCCATGACATCTTACAGTAGCTATAAGAGTGAGGAAAGACGAAAAATAGTGAAAAAATAAAGCTTTTCACCTATTATCGCCCACTATAAAATCGGCCATAAAAATTAACAGAGTGAATTCATCTGCCATTCAAGGTTTTGTAGGTGCATAAAGGTAGTAAAATTAACAATATAGTAACCCTTTACACCCTATATATGTGTTTCAATTGGAAATATTGATGAACTGATCTCACAAAGCATGGATATTGAGAAAATATTTTTAGATAAAAATTGAATTTTTCTCAGAAATCGGGCCTTGATTGACTTGAATGAAAACGAACATATTCTAACCTTTTTCATCAATCTAGCTCATCTTCTCTACGTTCGCTGATACCCCTAGTATTATTATACTTGAAACTAGTTTCAAAATGTGCATCTGTTGCCCCTAGATGGCTGGATATTTCAATAATTATATTTTAAATTTCGCGGTTCAGCCTCTTGGTCGAACCGGAAATCAATAATTTCAAAAATATTTGAATTTTTTCTTTTGCATTATTTTTTGGTCAATAACAACAAAATTGGTCAAAATAAGTGAACAAAGCAGTATTCTATGAATGTATTTATATTTATTTCACAACTTTATATAACAATTATAGGGAAATAGCGTGGAAAGATGCAATTATATTTTGGTAAGATTTTTCTTTATCGGGTGACGTCACAAACCCGTCAAATCGATCATATATGATCGATTAGGCATGACGGAGTTAAAAGCTATTATATCATATCTTTTACGTATTCACAGTCCGTCAATAGTCTAGGTTTAGATGATTATACTGTAAGACATACACTCAAACCAGAGGCTTAACAAAATATACATTTTAGGATACAAAATGAATGTTTCAATATTTCGGAATGTGTATCATCAAAATAAAAAAAATCCCCAAAAAATCGTAATTTGGAAATTCATAGTTCAATTCAAGAAAATGGCCCCGTCACAGCAGATTCAGACTGATCCATGTAAACAAGTATGTATGTTATGTGTTGGTCCTTATTGTGTCAAATATCACCTTCCAAAACAAATTTGTACCTCGGTTTAGTTTGGACTTTCGAAACCGGAAGTGAGTTTTCAAGATTTCGAAACAAATTGAAACGTTGGTGAATACACCGATACTTTAGGTTATATCGCTATAAACTGGACATTAATTGGTTTTTGAGATAGTGGTGATCATTTCGTGAACGTTTAATCAATATTGGTTGATAGATGGTGGAGTTACAGCAAAATAAAAATGTCTGTGGACAATTTTGGGGATCTGCCTGGAACACATGTTGCGGACTATATTCTCTTAGCGCGGATGTACGAAAGTACAAGTTGAAGCACCGCAACAATGGGTGGAATTCCTGCTGAATAGATTACATTCTTGTTCAATGATTTGTGTTACTAAATGTCATAGAAACCTTGTTTACTTTTAAATTTTGCTAATTTTGGGGATTGGCCCAAAACATAAGCTCTAAAATAATACCCAATAAGCAAATGGTTCGTTTCGGAATAATAAAGAATATATATTTACCTTTGATACTACGTCATGTTGGAGGTTATCTCATCCTAGACCGTAATGATCACTAAATTCCAGGAAGAATTTGACTTTTTTCAAAATTTTGTTTTGGGTGACTAGCAACTCCTCTCTGAAAAAATGCACAGTAAAAAGTAGTTCTACATTTTTAATATTTTTAAGTTTGAATTATCTATCCTCTTAGTTATATATAAAATTACTTGCATATTCAGTTTAAATTATGACTGTACAAAGAAGAAATACATATTCAACTGCAAAATGTATTTTTAATAGATAATGAGTCCCAATCAATTCGCGGTACTACTTTTTGGAAATCTATATGGGTCTTGTCATGAGAGACTAATTCGACTTCCGGTGACATCAAATCGAAAAATTCATCGTGGTTTTTGCAGTTTCTTGGGCTAATGATGTGACTTTGGACGGTTAAAGTAGAACATAAAGGATATTTCAGATGTCGATGTTTGAAAAAGAGTTGAAGGATTATGATGCCAGAGGGGCGTGGCCAATCATTTATCACGTGAGTTGTGGAGTATTTTTTCGTTTGTTCACTTTTTCAATCTGGACTTTTCAAGGGCAAGTTTGAAGTTCCCATACATTTTCTTTTCATGTTTTACAAATATCATATTGTCTCTTCTAGATATCTGATATAATAAACCCAAATTTCAAAAGGGCATATAACTTGTTATTGGAACATTATTACATATGGCACGTTTTAGGATCTCACTAACTTTCTGGGTGTAAGCAAGTCAGTTGACTTACGCCTAAAACCAAAAATTAAGCAATGGTAAGACCGCATTACAATATTATATTGAAAACAACATTCATATTTTAGAATTCAAAAGTTTGTAATGTCTGGATTGCTTATTGTTTTGCTAACAAATCTGCTGCCTTTTGTAATATGACGTTCTCAGATATGTTATTTAAAATGTAATAACGATTGGCTGCACATATCTCATTTATCTGAAATATACAAATGTTGCACATATATGAATATATTTTTCTATAACAGTACTGTGGTCCTTGATTGCTAAATTTTTGGGTTTGATCGATGCAAATGCCTGTTGACTTGCTCTATATATTATAGGGGTCTTTTGTGGAACTGTGATGTATGGGATTACTTTAGACGTGGGGTTGTTTCAACCATGTGAATTGAGTATTATAAGCCAAGGTTGAAATAACCCCATGGTTGAAATAGTCCCATAAGTTGAAGTTTGACGAAGGACCCTTATCTGTATATACTTCATCACTTAACTGAAAATGAGAAAACAGGAAGTGACTAAATATGCAGCATTTTTGGACATTTTTTGAACCAAGATATTACAGAGTTCTGTTTTGACCTCCAGTCATTTTGTGCAATGTGCAGGGGTTTCACTAGAATTTCTCACAACAGGTTAAATAAATGAAAACAGCAGTCAAAATTTATGGAAATCAGAAATTTAACATGGAAAAGTTAAAAAGTCCCTCAAAACAACAGGCAATTTTGTGAAAACAACTAGTGAAAATCGCCTGTTGCCTGCTGCTAATGAAATCCCTGAATGTGCATGGTCAGAATGACCCAAAACATGAGAAAATAACTTTTTCATCCCTCTGAAAATGTGGCTGAAAAATAGCTATAACCTTAGGTCATTCTGATCCTGACTATGTAAATTACATTTAAAACTAGTTAAACTGACTGGAGGTCAAAGCAGAACTCTGTTATCTTTGTTTCAAAAATATCCAAAATGCTGCATGTTTTGTCACTTCCTGTTTTGTCATTTCCTGTAAAGTACTATGAGACCTTAATAATTTATATTAATTGATTATTCTTATATTATTAATAATTTAATTTTTTTATGTTGTAGAAATTACGCACCGAGGCTTCTTTACAACATGACTTCCCCATGTCAGTGGCGAAGCGTGCAGATAATAAACCTTTGAATCGCTACAGGGATGTCAGCCCATGTAAGTGATTTTGGCAGTCATAATGAGATTTGTTTTCAAATCAACCATTTAGTTTTAAATAAATTTCCACTTCAAATAAGTCCCTTATACAATCCAGAAAAATCCATTAAGATTCAGTTAAACTCATGTTCAACTATAAAAGAAAGCAATTGTCTTTGAGTCATTTTAACAGATTATACCTCATAGAAACCAAATTCATTTTTGTTTAATTGAAATGCTTTCTCACTAGCGTTATATTGATATATGAATGAAAACAAAAGGATGATGATCAGGTGTTTCGACCATTCTAATCAGATAAAAGAATTTCAATAAAGCAGATGATAATATATTTATCTATAGGTATATCTGGTATTTTCAATCTAAAAATATTGTACCTTAAAAATATTGAAATATTCATAATACTGAATGAAGTGTTTTTTGATCTTTTTGATTTTGCAGATGACCATAGCCGCGTGAAGTTGAAAAAATGCAAGAATGATTACATCAATGCTAGCTTAGTACAATGTCCAAAAGTCAACAGAAAATATATTTTAGCACAGGTGAGTGAAATTGATATGGTTTAAACCCTAAACTGAGTGAAATTAACATGGTTTTAACCCTAAAATGAGTGAAATTGACATGGTTTAAGCTCTTAATTGAGTAAAAATGACATGGTTTAAACTCGAAAATGAGTGAAAATGACATAGTTTAAACTCTAAAATGAGTGAAAATGACAAAGTTTAAACTCTAAAATGAATGAAAATAATATAGTTTAAACTCTAAAATGAGTGAAAATGACATGTTTAAAATTATAAAATGAGTGAAAATGACATGTTTTAAACTCTGAAATGTGTGAAAATGACATTGTTTAAACCCTAAAATGAGTGAAAATGAGATGGTTAAAAATTCTTAAATGAGGGAAAATGACATAGTTGAAACCCTAAAATGAGTGAAAATGACATGGTTAAAACCCTAAAATGAGTGAAAATGACATGGTTTAACCTCTAAATTGAGTGAAAATGACATGGTTTAAACTCTTAAATGAGTGAAAATGACATGGTTTAAACTGTAAAATGTGTGAAAATGACATGGCTTAAACTTTAAATTAGTTAAAAGGAAATGGTGTTTACTCTAAAATGAGTGCAAATGTCATTGTTTACACTCTAAAATGAGTGAATTGAAGAGAATCATGAACTTCAAATCAATTTTAATGAGAAATGTGGAACGAAAACCTGGCCAAAAATATCCCCTTCCCTTTACTTTGAAAGATTCTGTCATTAAATTGGTACTCAGATTAATCTGAACCAAACTAGTTCATTCATTCATTAATTTATTTTCAAAGATAAGTTGAAAGGTGGATGACACCCTAGTGGACATATTATACACTCAAAGAAGATTAGCTTGACAAATGGTCTGAAATGTGCTAAATTTGCTTTATCTGTAAATTTCATTCTGATCTATCAGAGTCTCTCTTTATCTAAAGCTTGATTATGAATCCCACAATGGTAAATCTGCTTTAAAAGTACTTTACTCTAAGACATGCTATATTGGCAATATGATACAAATTATCTATTTGTCTCTGTTTTAATGACATCTTTTGTTTCTTCCTGTTAGTGGTCACGATGACCTAGTACTTGGAAAATCTAGTTTGTTACAACTTAAATGGTTTCTGAGAATATTATTTTTAGATTTCCAGTATTTTTGATTGAAAATAGGCATCAGTGAATTATTTAAAGGAAAATCAGTTCTGTAGGATTCAACGAATCTTACGGATATTCTATAGAGCAATTTTAGTGAAAAATTTTGTGACAGATTTTCTCGTCACTCTGGGTTTCAAGGTCATTTTTGAGGTGACAAGAAATCTCGTCACTCTGGGAAGTCAAGAGGTTAACCTAATTTAATGTTACTCTCTTGCAAGTGAGCGAAATCTACTGTAATAGACGTTGCAGGCAGGACATCTGCCTTACCAAAGATTTTACAGAAATATATGAGATATATTACTAAAACTGTCTATTATAGAAATATACCTCTTTTAGCCAAAATGTACCTCATCTATATTTACATTTGCCTCATCTAATATTTGATTGAGGCAATATTTTTATTTGCACAATAAGTAATTTAACATTACATAATACTCAGACATCAATAGATATAGTTCTTAGAAATGTAAAACAGAGGTCATGTTATTTATTGTAATATATAAGTTAAAAGCGGGAACTACCAAGAATAGTATAAATAGATGAAGTGAATACTCTAATTTGTATGGAACTATAAAAAATGAGTAGTGCATTTAAATCTGAGAGAGAAATAGTGCAAAATAAGCATGATTTTATCAGACATTTGGCAATGATTCATAAAATTATTGATTTCCAAATTCATGGAAATGTGACACAACGGTCATATATAAAATAAAATTCTGAGAAGAGATTTTGAAATGAATTTGGAAAACATAAAACAAAATATAGCAAAACCTGTTCACTTGAACACCTGGAACAGGAGCCTGTTTTTCAAAAACCTCGTCAATTACGATTTGTGAATTCAGTTGTCTTCTAAGATTTTTCCATTTCTTGAAACTTGATAATTTTCATCAATTTACGATTTTATCGTGGTTGGTAATGATTTTGACGACACCTCTAGGGGTACTCGTCAACCGTTCATGGTGTGGTTATTATGGGAACCAGTCCATGGTCAAATGACGCCGACACTCAATTTACCACCAAGCACATGTAGATGTCGCAATCTATGATTTCGTTCACGATGTCATCGACGAGGTGTTTCGAGAAACGCAATTTGGAAAATCATAGACAACATCGTAGAAAACGAAAATTGTCAATCCGCGAATCGTAATTGACAATGTTTTCGAGAAACAGGCTCCAGAACACCTCTCCATATGAACACTTTCTCACTGCAGTTTTTATCAGTCCTATTGATCGTTCATCAAAGAAACTTATGAACACCTACTTTTCTGAACACTTGGCAAATCCCAATGCCATTCGGATTAGACAAGTTTTACTATATATACTCTACAATTGCACGCCTAACCGCATCGACAAGGTACAGTGACAAAATACACTTTAGATGTACGATGTCACTATTTAACCGATTTGAAGCAAAGACAATGATGTAGGTTTGATGTAGGTTTAAAAAAATTAATCTGAGGGATGCATTAATGATTTCAAGTTTGATTTTTTGCGTATTCGTTTAGGAAGACATTTAACTATTAGTACTATCTAATAACATTTAAAGATTTTCAAATAGTGCTCAATTTTTTTCGTAGTCAATCTACCCATATAATTGGTCGGTTGGGAAATGTTGTGTTATATAGAAATTCGAAAAAGTAAGGTCTAAATACTGTAGTAGTTAGAAAAAGAGAACACACTTTATTTTTTATTCTGGTTAGTGTAGAGAATTATAATTACTGGTACAAAATTTCATATTATTACCAATTAGCAATGGAGGTAATAGAGGTTTTCTACGTAATCTTCATTATCACGTTTCATTATCACATTTCATTGACGTCAATCTCATTAAAAGGTATTCTTGGCCTCAAGGATGAAGCAATCATAGTTTCAGTGAACCTTGCCCGAAAATTAGTATCTTTGAAACCTGTCTGGTCCTAACTTTTTTGATCACATTTGTTTAATCCACCATTGACTTCCATGTTAAAACTTTGAAATCTGAAAATTTTTGGGTAGACACAGGTACAGACTCAGATTGGGTAGATGCTTGATTTAGATGTTTTACCCTTCAGTGGTTAATTAATAGGTTAGTCTAGGTTAGGCCATGATATGCCACCCATTTTCTTGTGTAGGAGAAGCCTCTAAGCTTATATGATGGAGATCAGGTCCCATCCCATTTATCTAATCTCATTTTAACTTGGTTTGACCCCCACAACCTTATCTTTCATGTTAAAACTGAAATGTGTACTTTTACTTGTAAAACTTCTGAGAAATGTTGTTTTAAGTACACAAAGACTCCTCATTCAATTTGTAAATTGATTACTAAGAAATATTTTAATTAAAGTTCTGAGAAATCAGAGCTAGAGGTCAGATATTTCCTAAATATCTATCTGCAGACTCATATCAAATAAACCCATAAACCACTCATACCCCCCCCGCCCCATTTGTGAATATTTGTTTGTCTGTTCTATTTTTTGGGAAAACTTGATTGGGTGTAGTGAGGTGTTCAGCTTTACAGGTCAGTGTCCTTAATTCTTCATCATTTATAAAGTAAGTTATAGAGTAAATTGAAAATACCAAGTGACTCAATTTTTGATCATGTTTGGTTAGGCTAGGCTGTAATTAAATTAAGTTGCACCTGTGTCAGTTTAATTAGCCTTTATCTAATCTCCATTTACTCGCACATAAAACTTAATTCCCCTGGTTACCTACTCTTAATGTGAAGTTCTTGTATTCCTTATTTCACTGGATTTTTCCCTAGGCCTATGTCAATTAATTTGCGATATTAGACACTTTTATATTTGTACAGTTAAATTGCAGTTACATGTTCTTTTGACTTGGTATTTATATACCATATTTAGTAATGATATAACTTTCAAACTATTTCTACTCTTCATAACATCACAACCATGGAATTGTATATTTTCAGATGAATGAATTAATGCAAAATTGCATTTAGTTTGAAATGCAGAATACAATTTGATATTAAACATTTATTTTATTGTACAAACTTTATGTCCTATTTCTAACTCTAGAATTGTTTTAGATGGGAAAACGTGAACTTTTTTTTCCGGGCACAAATGATCAGTCAGTCAGCTGTTGCTGCATCTAAAATAAAATATTACATCGACCCCTTTGAAATATGAAACTGATAATTTCATACCTAGGTCTTTGAAATGTTATTTAAATACTGTTTTGTTGTCAGCTTTTAGATGGTAGCAGCGTCTCAATTTTCTTATCTGCAAATTTCCAGACAAACCATATGGTTTGATTAAAAATTTTCAGTAATGTTTTTGACATGAAGATATATAAAACTGGAGGCATATTCAGTGATGACATTAATTACTAATATGTAGCATATATTTTGAAATGTGGTACGATGTAAATGATTTCCTGTTTTTTTTAACTCATACAGTAAAACCTGTGTACAGTGAACACCTATGGAGCCACAAAAATGTGTTCACTGAAGGTAGGTGTTCACTACAGATAGACAATTTTAAAAAGTACACAGCAGGCAAGAATTTTACCCTACACGCCATCCGCTAGGTGCGCTATTTCATTATACACTGGATGAAAATATAGTATGATGTCATTCTCGTCATATATAATATATGACGTCATATAATATATATTTGACGTCATTTATTAATATATATTGATAGCGCGAGACATCGGCGAGCTCAGGAATGAAAAGCATGAACCAATTTGACGCATCAGAACAGCAATTCGCCCGCTGTGTACTCAGTAGAGTATGTGCTGAGAATGGGTGTTCACTAAACACGAGTATTCACTTCAAAAATTCAGCTGATATGTATTGACAATAGACTACATGCGAGTACAAATAACCTTGATTTACGTCATTAAATATTCAAAATTCTGTCAAAGTGATCTCATATTTGAAATCTGCATGTAAAAGTACATTTAGAAATATGGTTTCGGAAATTATCTATCAACTTTGAAAGTTTAATTTTTTTTGAAAATGTGACTTCTTGTTCGGGTTGATACCCCATAGACCCCATGTTACAGAACCACAAAAAAGTGAATTATCTTCTCTTGTATTGGACAGATAACATTTTCTTTTACTGAACATATTTTAATTTGCGTAACTATTAAATACATAAGGGTTATATGAAAATTGAACCATGCAAATAGATGTAATTTAAGATAAAGGGAACTTTCTACTATACCAGCCATGCTATCTGACCCAAACGAGCCACTTGGTGGTGAATCTGGTAACTACCTACTCGCATCTGCGGTATTGTTAAAAGAGGAGGAATAACCCAGGATTTAAAGAAGAACCTATATTCATGGAAAGATGAACCTTAAAATTCAACTTTACATGTGTTCGTTTTTTTTTAATCCTGGGTTATTCCTCCTCTGGGATTATCATCAAGAATCAAAAGTTAACAAAATGGAGATTAGCTTTTCAAATATTCCAGAGGGGTTCAGATTTGATGGTTTTAGCCCAAAATTACTTGAAAAGTGCTCATAATTTGAAAAAGCTTGATTATGAAAGAATTAATGGCCAGAAGGAGTTCATCCCCCAAACCCGCTGGTTAATAGCCTGGCTTGTATTACTATTACTGTATATTACTGTAATTTTAAAGTGCTAATTACATGTGTGACAGCATTTTTTCTAAAATGATCATCCTGCAGATTGGTCACAAATTATGTCAGTTACATTTTTAGATTACCAATATGGGTATCTGGCTGAGTAGCTTACAAATAAAAACCTTTCTAAATGAATAATAATCAACCCAAATTCCTATATCATTTACGAGACAGACATATTGATTTGTCATAATAGATTTTCCGAGAAAATAAATAGCAATATACTGTAGTACCAGAATCATTGTCATAATATTGAATTTCGGTACTTTTTTATTGAAAAATAAGTGCAAATTTATAACATGAGTCTATTTGTCTGTCTGTTTTCAAGTAGTAATAAAAAGTCTGAAAAAAAATTGATATTTTCCTAAGAGTAAAATCAATATTTCTTCCATCTTATTGAATAACCTATGTATTAACCTATGAATTATCCATATTTCTAGTGACTGACCTGTGTGACACCTTTACCCCCAAAATGCATCCTGATTTTCGACGCCTTTTTGGTACCAAATTTCGGTGCCGTTTCGTCACCAAATGGACTGACTAGTCCGGTAGCAAATATTGTTGTCAAAAGGTTTCGGTGCCGGAATGGTAGCGAAACGGTGCTGGAACAGCGCCAAAATGGCGCCGAATTATATTGGCTGTGTTCACGGAGCAATGGAGGTTATGTTCAAAGATCATGTACATATTATAGTTATACATCACCTGGGGTTTTATTAGCAGTGGGCAGCAGGCGATTTTCACTGTTTTCACAAAATCACCTGTTGTTTTTAGGGACTTTTCATCTTTTCCATGTTAAATTTATGATTTCCATTAATTTTGCATGTTGTTTTCATTAATTTAGTCTGTTGTGAAAAATTCTAGTGAAACCCCTGCATCACATTATTTCAAGTTGACAGTACATGTTTAATAGTTGAGTTAAAGGACCAGCAAAATGGACATACAGATTATCCAATATGAGGTTCAGGATACTGAGATTATCCCATTAATACTATAATATATACCCACTCAGATATAAACATACTTTCTACACTGAACCTCAAACATGACCCTCCGGGCACTCACTGGGAAATATTTAAGGTATGGGTGAAACATCCTCAGCATAACCGTTCAGTTGTGATAAATCATATTTGTGTTATATTTTATCCTTTTTGCATGCTATTATTTTGTATTTAGTCAAGTTTAGACTGTGGGAACAATCAAGATTTGCCAATAGGTTGTGGTGGGAGCTAAATAGAGTGTGGTGCTGCGCCACAGTCTAAAACCCTAGAGCGAGAACCCGTACCAAGTATGAGATAAATGTACTTATAGTAGATATAACTGATTATTTACTGTTTTTCAGGGTCCCCTTCCGAATACATCCGGCCATTTCTGGCAGATGGTGTGGGAACAGAATACAAGGGCAGTTCTGATGTTGAACAAAGTTATAGAGAAAGGAATGGTAAGCTGACACATCCTCATGTCACAAGAGGGTGAAATATCCCAGAATTCATGTGCAAACATATCACTTTATAAAGATGATCCATGGTTCATATATGAATTCTGGGATATCCCTCTCTTGTAGTTTTGTGTCACCCAATTCCATATATGGCTATATTTGATCAGTTATTTTTGCTCCCATGGCCCGGGGAAATTGACTCACTAGGTTTCTTTCATTGTAGAGAATTTCACAGGCCTTTTATCTTGTCCAAATTCCCAACTATTCTTGTTCGACTTTCAATGGAGCATTATATGTAATGCATTATGCAAATTAGACATAAACTATGAACTACTATACATGTACTCATCTTTTGTTTTCCAGATAAAATGTGCCCAGTATTTCCCACTAGGATCAATCAATGACGGGGACGATGATTTAGTGTTTGAAGATGTTCGTTTGAAAGTTTCGTTTATGTCTGCTCAAGAAACTATGTGCTATACTTTAAGAACTTTTGAACTGCAAGATATGAAGGTAATTAAGAACATATAGGCTCATAATACTCGTACTTCAAGAACTTTTGAAGTACAAGACATTTAGGATATTACTAATTTTTCATTCTTGGGTATCCAAGGCAACAGTTCTCAACAAACTGTGGTAAATCTGTAAAGTGGAACACCTTCAAAGTGGAACACCTTCAAAGTGGAACACCTTTAAGTGGAATAATTCCCAAGTGAAAAACTTCAAAGCTCCCTCACTCTTTATTTCAATCTGATATGACCCTCTGTAAGTTGAACACTTGCCAAATATACCTCTATTTCAAGGTGCCAAAGCACTGACACAGACTCAGTGAATTCTTTTTTTTCAGACGGGTGTAACAAAAGAAATTTTACATTTTCACTTTACTACGTGGCCAGATTTCGGAGTGCCTCCCTCCCCTGAAGACTTTCTAGACTTCCTTGATGCAGTCCGAGAATCGGGAGCTCTTGACGCCAATGTTGGTCCAGCCGTCATACATTGCAGCGCTGGGATTGGACGATCTGGCACATTTTGTTTAGTTGATACATGTTTATTATTAGTAAGTAAATGTTACATTTTTGTTGAAATCCAACATAAATTTTACATAATTCAAAACATTTATTTATGATAAAATACTCAACTATATACAATTTTCTTAAACATATATATATACAATATATACAAACATATATATATATACAATTTGTATATCCTGACACCTCTCTGAACTACCGCCTCTCAATGTGAACACTTTTTCTGTCCTATTTTTATCCATCCTCCTAATCATGTGTCCAGAATCCATACCTCCTCCTTCCCCCTGCTATAACCAATTTGGAAGCGTCAAATTAAACTGAGTCACGTGATCTAATTATGCAACGATGACCTATACAGTTGCGAGTTATTCATCGGGGAAATGCTAACTGCTTATGGCAGGGTGTAAAAAGAAAGAAGATATTCTGGATTTTGAAGCCCTGTGATCGGAGGATGATTTTTATCTCACATGGTTTGATCTGTTCTAGACTTCCATGTTCTAGAAATACAAAAAGTGAACACATTCCCATCAGAGATTTTTAGGTCAATTTCAGTGATGTTTGGTTTGGTCAGATTTTACTATGAAGAACCCATTTGGTTTAATGACAATATCACTTTCTTAAATAGCTATAATTTATATTTTGTTTCGTGGACGGTGTTTCGCATTCAGCATCTGTAACAAATTGGAGGTAGTTTTGCATGTTTAATATGCCTATTCAGGGATTTCATTAGCAGCAGGCAACAGGTTAAATATCATATGTTTAAATGTCATTATAATGTTTATGTTAAATGTTATGAATTTAGGTTAAATGTCATTATAATGTTTATGTTAAATGTTATGATTTTAGGTTAAACAAGCTGGTAATTTAGATAGTTTAGATGTCCGTGCTACTTTAATGGAGATGAGGACGTATAGAATTGGGTTGATACAGACCCATGATCAGCTTAGATTCTCATACCTGGCGATCCTAGAGGGTGCCAGGAGTCTACTCAGCAATGGTGCCGTTGATGGAATTGATGGAGAAATAGAAAAACAGGTAACTATGGTAACTTATACCATGACAACTGCCATGTAAAATTAGTTTTCTTGAAGAAATAAAAAGGGATAGAGTGTCAAATGTTTGCAGCGATCTTTCAAAAAATTATTTTCTGAAAAAAGATCGAGATATCTAATCAATCACAGATTCAATGTCCAATAATTGAAGAGGCGTTGTTGTCCAGTTATTTATCATTGAGGCAGGTGCAGCAGGATAACATGGAACGATGAGAGAACCATGCATGTTTGATACAGTATTGTAGAATTCTCCTCGAAACCAGGCCCGTAGCCAGGGGGTTCCCCCCCCCCTGGCCAATATTTCTTTCAAAATCATGCAGTTTTTCACCATTCTGACTATTTTTGAGTGATTTTTGGCCAAATTTGCCAAAGTGAACCCCCCTAGAATTTTTTGGAAAATTCTGTCTACGGGCCTGGAAACTTTCAGCTCATCTCTACCTATCCCTTCTGTAAGAGGGGACAATTTTGGATTTTACATTAGGAGGTGTAATTCATGTTCATTTATCTTTTATTTGTACCAACTGCCAAATTCAGACCCTTACAATTAAGTGTATATTTGTTTGTTTCATGACAAACTTGATATTTCCTATTTAAAATGTGATTTTGTGATTAAGAATTTAAAGTGGTGAAATATTGTTATAGTCTCCAACTTTTTGTGTCGGAAGTCTGCATCTTTAAAAAATGGCAGCTGGAGAAATTTTACATGTTAAATTAATGCCTCCTATATAAATGTGCTTTTGCATTTTGCACTCCATGACTTTTTCATTTATTATCTTATCTTAATTTGTCTTTATATTTTTACACTTTTTCAGTCAATACAAGTCCCCGAACTTGAGGAACCCGATATCCCTCCCCCACTTCCTCCGCGTAGAGGTAATATAGACAAACAGAGAAATATTACGGAAAATGTTGATACAGTCCAAGAACCTGAAAATAGGTTGGTATATTGCTTATATGATATCTTTATAGAGTATCTGTTGGACAGATTTGTATCAAATTTATATTGCACTTAAATAGGTCCAAAGTTTACATGTGGGTCTCACCAGGGGTCTCTGCCATCTCATCTCTTCATTTGTGGTATCTCTGGGGTGCCAGGTGAAGTTATCTATGTATGCCCATTGCCCAGTCGTGAATTATTTAGATGTGCCTATATGATATTTTTGAAAAATGAATAATTTAGTTTTAAAATCAATTCTCATTAAAATAAATGATTTGCATTTCACCTTGACAACAATAGTACAACTTTGGTACAACAACAGGGCAAAGGTACAATGAATCTAAAGAGGAATTTGGAAAAAAACATTTTGATTCAGTTTTACTTATGGTTTTGATTTGAGTGCAAAAGAAATGAGTTTCAGAATTTTGAAAAAATAATATTGTTTTATTTTAATTTGATGTAGTGCGGATAAACAATCGAAAAGAGGTTGGTAAAAACAAACAGTTATTTACTTCATTTTACATAAATACAGCTGACTTGGGATGGCCTACGAGTAATTAGAATTTCAAGTTAGCATGGGAAGTGAAACTTGGTAAATGTTGAAGGTCTGAGACACCCCTTGTTCAGTAATTTTGAGGAATTCTGTAAACACTAACTATCATATCATATCCTAAAAGATGATACAAAAAATTGAAAATGATAGTTAGATTACAAAAAAAGAAGACCCTTCAAAAATATTGTTTGTGTTAACAATCATGTTTGTTTGTTATTCATCTGTTTGTTATTAATTTGTTTGTTTTATGGTTAATTTGTTTTATCATAATCAAAGTGGATTTTGCTGTCATCAGGTTGGCGGGAATTCTTATTTATTGTCTGCACATTTCCAGACAAACTATCCGAATGATTTGAAATTTGAAACCTAGAACAGTGGTTTTTAGGCATGCTGGGTAAATTTTAACTTGGCCATTTTTTGCTTTTAAGTACGATATTTTTTACCTATATGGCTTGTTGAAACTGCTTTCTGTCTGCTGAAGTTCTTGACCTTGAATACTATTTTTTAATGATTTGATTAAGTTCCACTAAAATGATTAGGAAACACTTTGTTTAAAAAAGAAGTACATGTAGGCCCACACTGAAGTAATTGTAAATATTTTACTGAAAAATTGTCGACAATTTTATTTAGAATATCCTTTAGTGAAAAATGAAAACCCTAGTATTTTGGATTTTATGGGGTTTGGTCAAACCAAATAAAATTTATTTCCTGTAACAATGAAATGTAACAATTCTTCGCAGTAAAAAATTAACTGAAATTTTATAATGTATATCTTTCTTTTTCAATTTCAGCGAAACTACAATTAGACAGAGGAAAAGTCGTGAAGATAGGAAAAAGAAAACGCAAGAACAAATCGATAAAATGAGGGAAAAACAGCGAGCGAGCGAGATAGCTCGTCGCCGAAGACTATGGATTAAACCTTATATTAAGCCAATTTTAGCAGGACTCGGACTCGCTGTTTTATGCGGGGGTTATTATTTTTATAAAAAATATTTTATTGTATGATTAAAAAATGGCCTTCCAAAAATCTAACATGTGTTAAAGATATTTGGTATTCATGTTAATTTCATGTAATTTTCACGGTTTTTCATGTCAGTTGTACTGGCGAGATTCAATTGGTTTAATGCAGTCACAGGAAAAATCTTGAGGATATTTGTAAGTTATAATCTAGTGTTAATCCTTTTCAAGATATAAGAGGTCACACTTTTGTTAGCCAAACCACGAGCAATCCAAAATAATCAAACATTTTGCATCTGAAATATTAATGTGTACTGTCTGACTGTACACACTGTTGGACGGTATACTTTACACACAATGTTGATGGTATACTTTACAAAGGATCGGATGGTATAGTTTACACACTTGGATGGTATTCTTTACACACTTGGATGGTATACTATACTCAAGATTGGATGATATACTATACAAAGGATGGGATCCACACACAATTGGATATTAAACCGTATAAAGGATTGGATGGTGTACTAGACAAAGTTTTGGATTGTATGCTATATACAGGATTGGATCATATACCATACACTATGGAATACTTTACACAAGATCGGATGGTATACTTACACACTACTGGATGGTATTCCACACATATGTTGCAACTCTCCTTTTGTATTTGTTAATCTTTTTATTTTGGTTAGTTTAGAGCATGGAAACTTTAAAAAAGTCTTTTGTTTACCATGCACTGGACTGATTATACAGGGTGGTCAAAAAAATGAGAACTTTGACGCTATTTTCCTCATATCTTCATTAAAGGAAGTAACTCTTTGTCATTTGGCACATTTCATTCAATTTCCTATGAGGCTACCATATGTCATGGTCGTTAGACTGATAGTCACAATGTTACATCACTTTAACAGCGGTGGCGGTAGGCATATATTTTTGTGAGTCATCATGACTCAGGTAGTTTCAAAAAAGTGAGTCACAAGAAAAAAAGTTGAGTCAAAGCTATAAAAGTGTTTTTCTTGAGTAAAAATGCATACAAAATGTAGAAACCACATACAAAATCTATTTTTTGATTTTGTGCATACCTTTTATTGTACTCTTATAGCACATTAACAACTAACAATTAATTAATTAGGCAATTGCAAGAAAAATGTCACTATTAATCATCTGATTATCTGGTCCAGCGAGTCATGGGTGTGAATGGAGTGGGAGAGGAGTTTCTCCCTGTGTGGAGTTACACAAATTGGGGTCAAAGCGTTTCATGTTGAAATTCAACATTTTTGCAATCATTCCAAAGTCTAAAACGGCAATATAAGTCCGACCACAATACTGGGCATCATTTAAATTGAATACGGTAGAATCTTGTAATTATAAAATGAAACCGAAAGTAGATTTGTTTTCATACCTAATTTATCATCATTACCCCCCTTAATGTGCGATCGACTGGATTTTCATGTGCCCATTATCTATCTTCATAGGATCAGCTTCAGATCTAGTGAATCGAAGATCTTAACTTGAGGGAGTTAATTGAAAATACTTGGTGAAAACTTACGATAGATCGGTCACTGTGAGCACCATTGATAAACCTACTGCGCATTACATCTGCGCATGCTGATGAAGTGGACGGCTCAAGGAAACTTGCTAACTTAGCGAAGGAATTTTGCGAACTTGCGAAGGAAACTAAAGGTTCGTAAATCTAGCGTGTGAACATTCAAGGAAAGATTTTATGCGGTAATTTAGATAAATATACGATCACTAAAATCCTTAGAAGGGAGTATGAAATTAATAAATTATTGTTCAATGTTATGTTCGTTTTATTGCATTTTTGATACGTCCCCTAGCACACGAGATAAACAAATCGAGGGATCGATCAATGTTTTCAAGTTTATCATTGAATCTGAATCACAGGGCTTTAAAAATTATATGAAATACCGAAATAAGAAAATGATCGGTAGGAAGGAGGCTCGATTGCGCTGAACGAAATGTTAGATTTCCGGAATTAGCAAAATTATAAATTTGATCAATCACGTATTTTCACGTATAGGGATCAATTTAACCAAGTACCAAGCGGGGATTTTGCATGTGAAACAAACGTGCGTCAGAAAGACTCGGTAGACAATGAATATTTGCGTCAGAGTTGCAAAAATGTGAGTAAAAAACGTAAAAAATTGCGTTAACGCCACCTCTGTTTAACAACATGTTCTAGTGGCCACTATAGCAATGTAGGCAAAACTACACACATTGTCAGAAATTGGGGATATTCCAAAGATACAAGACTGTACGAGAATAATCTCAGGACAACTGCAGACCTCAAAAGGAAGATCATCCATGTCATTCAGTCCATTCCTGCTGAGGAATGCATTTTGGTTATTGACAACTGAGTAGGTTTGCCTACAGCGTGATGACGGCCAAAACCTAAAGCATATTATTCAAAGTGCTAAAATATTGTGACTATCAGTCTGATGGTCATGAAATGTGGTAGGCAATTGAATGATGTTTAAAAGTGTCAAATATCAAGGAGTCATTTCCTAAAATGACAAAGGTATGAGGATTTTTTGACCATCCTGTAGCTAGGTGATGCTATCTTTGAAATAAATGGACTCAGTGCTGATTTCACATTATAATATACAGCAAATTTTTTTACTGAAAAAATGCATGACGATCAATAACTTGCACAGATTCAATGGGCATTGCTACTTACATTGCTTTCTGTAAATATTGCAGTTAAAAAGAATTGCTCACATGGTCAGTGAAATTACCATCATTTGAAAATTATAAAGGGTGCATGCAACTCAAACTTTGCTCCTGACATGTCACAAAAAAGGCAAGCAATTTCTTTGTGCTGTAATTTTTGCAGAAAATGTTTGTCTGTTGCAAGTTGCATGTTGTTATGATTTTTGTAGTAAACTAAGGGGCTTGGCCCCTTTAAGTAATACTGTATAATTTATTATGTCATCACCAAAAAGTGGTGACATATTGTGGTGGTCTCCATTTTATTTTTTGGCGGTTGGTGGTTGGCAGTTGGCCATCGGCGTCTATAACAAATTCTTATACCTTCCAATAACTTAACAAATACTGTTTAGACTGACTTCAATTTTTTTCAAAATCATCTACATGTTTTCAGAAGTTCAAATCTGACTATTTAAGATTTGACCTTCAATGACCTTTTCAAGGTCAAAAGGTCTTTTTTCAACGTGCTTCAAATTGACCATTTTTAAAAATTATCTGTACAAGCTCACAACAGTTCAAATTTGACTATAGATTTGACCCTCAATGACATTCTCAAGGTCGAAAAAGAAAAGACTTGACCTTCAATGACATTCTCAAGGTCAAAAAGTCTTTTTTCATCTTGCTTCAAATTGACCTTTTTTCAAAATCATCTACAAGTTCTCAGAAATTCAAATCTGACTTAAGATTGAACTAATAATATTGTGAGCAACTAGGTGGTGACATTTTTTCATGTTAATGCCTGGTTGTATCTAATTGTAATTCTACTATTGGCATTAATTTTCAATACAGTTTAATATCCATTGGTGAGTAGAACAATTGTGCTGCAGCAGCGCTACTCTTAAAGGCCTCTGACATTGTTAAATTATCCTCAGTTGTACTTCAAAGATGTCATTTCTGCTATGACTCTTAAATAATGAATTACTGTATTATTGTAAAGATTACTGTAAAGATTTGCCAAAGATAACCATTCTTTACAGAATGTGTGTATTGAGAAATTCTGTGTAAGCGCATAAATTGTTAAAGTGGACCCAAAAATGATTGTTATTCTAAAATCTCCAACTTCATTAAAATGCCCAACTGGCCAATTTAAATTGTACCGAATTCATTTTGGTATCAGTATTAGGTCCTACCAGATATTACTATAGAATACCTCTACCATTTATTTTCTGTATTCATAATATAATAATTTAAAAATCAACATTATCGACTTTGTATTCTATTGTCATCTTTCATAAAAATGGTGTTGAATTACTAACAGAAGTGTTTGACTCATATTAAAGGTGTTCAACTAACAAAGGTGTTCATTAAAGGTTTTTCCCTTTCTTTATCTCTTCATTTTAAACCCCTCCATTTTCACTCCTTTATGTTTCATAATTGTATTTCACACCTAAGACCTAGACAATGGCTGCAGTTATCCAATTGAAGTGGGTGGAGGGGAAAATTTTTCGACCCTGAAATTTCTAATGGATGCCAAAATATTAGCAATTATTTCCAAATTTTGAATAAGGTACCTTTAATAATCTTGCATATTTATAAAAGAAAAATTATTTTTATTCATAAAACAAACCAGGGCTTAATGACATTTTATCACATAAAAGAACAAGTTTAATCTTACAGGGTATGAATATTTACTAGAAAGATGAAGACAAATATATAACAGAAATTGACATTAGATATTGGTATGCATTTGTACCAAAGTGGTATTAATTTGTACCATAATGGTATTAATTTGTATCATAATGGTATTCATTTGTACCAAAGTGGTATTAATTTGTACCATAATGGTATTCATTTGTACCATAGTCATATTCATTTGTACTGTAGTGGTATTCACTTGTACCATAGTGGTATTCATTTGTACTATAATGGTATTCATTTGTACTATAGTGGTATTCATTTGTACCATAGTGGTATTTGTATCAAACTGATATTCATGTGTATCATAATGGTATTCATTTGCACTATAGTGGTATTCATTTGTACCATAGTAGTATTCATTTGTACCAAAGTGGTATTCACTTGTACCATAATGGTATTCACTTGTTCCATGGTGGTATTTATTTGTACCATAATGGTATTTCTTAAACATGGCCATGGAAGAGGCAAAGGAGGCAAGTGCCTCACCAAAATTATTCAATCATAAAATTCCGAATAAACTTGAAAATGAGATTGGGTTTCATTTGCCTCGCCAATTTCAAAATCCTGGCAATTAGCTTCATTAATTTCAAAATCCTGGCAATTAGCTTCATTAATTTCAAAATCCGGGCAATTAGCTTCATTAATTTCAAAATCCGGGCAATTAGCTTCATTAATTTCGAAATCCGGGCAATTCTGCCATAACGACTTGACAATTATTTTCTACCATATTGGTATTCATTCATTATTGTGGTGTCGATTTGGATCATCTTGGTTTTAATTTCTGTCATTTTGGTATTCATTTGTACTATATTGGAAGTCATTTGTATCATTTGGTATTTATTTGTACTAACTTGGTATTCATTTCATATGTACAATATTTGCATTCATTTGTACCAATATTAGGTATTAATTTGAACTAAACTTGCTATTATTTGTACCATTTTGGTATTAATTTATATAATTTTGGTATTCATTTGAACTTAATTGGTAATCATTTGTACCATTTTGGTATTGAGTTGTACTATATTGGTGTTCAATTGCACCATTTAGGTATTCATTTGTATACTGGTATTTATTTTTACCATTTTGAAATTCATTTGTA